GACTTCCGCTCAGGTTGTCGAAACGTCAGTCACCAACAACAGTTCTTTTCAGAACTACACTCACCCGGACGATCACACTATACGAACTACTGATACTCCTGGGTTCAAACCATTTACAGTGATCACGTTTGTTGATGAGTTTTAGTCGCGACAGAAAGCTCAGTCTTTTTCCGGTCGAATATTGTTTGGAATCTGTGGAAAGGTACTCTGAAGGCAATTCCAAGATCCGAAAGAGTGAGCCTGAAGTAAGGAATGGCAATGTAAATACTACTTTTCCTTTTGATCTCAAGAAAAAAAAAATTCAGGTGCAACCCTGAAGAAACTGTCAATGATTTAATGATCTATCGATGATAAATTAATTACGCGCGATTTTAGGACGTAATCAATGCAAATCGAAGACGCCCTCTCCCAGTCCTCTTTGTCCGTTCCGTTTTGCCCAAAAGAAAAGCTGTGGTATTATACAAACTGAACTCTGCTCGTGATAGCTACTGAACACTCACAATGAAATCAAGGATTTCTGAAAGCTCTCCTGAAATTCTAAACAGGTGATGGTGGGAATTTTTCAATTCAGATAGGTCAATTTCTATATCTAGACCACTCAGTTCAACAGCAACCATACATTCGAACCTCCACGAACGGCCACCTTTTTACAATTTGCACAGGTCCTGATACTTTCAATCTTATTTTAACCATTCTACAAAAGCGCCCTCTCCACAACGCCAAGGGCCACTAAAGCGTGTCCGAAGCGCCAAAATTACTTAGCCTCGTCAAGTATCACGCGAGAGAGATACAGAACCCCAATGTTTTATGGTTCCGAAGGACACGAAACTTGATCCATACTGCACGGTTCGTTTGTTTATTTTGTTTTTTGTTGAACATTTTCAAGGTTCGTTTAATTTCCTCGTAATTACGAATGATGGCCGCGAAAAACGCATTCATTAGTTAGGTTTTGAACTTCTGAATTCGTGTATTATTAACATACAAACGAGGCGAAAGGCGCATTTCTGCTTTGTATATATTGCCTCAGTTTCGCCTCGTTTTGTCTGCCTAACTGCTGATAATTGCAATAACAACTATTACTTGGATAAACGGCTGAAACGAACTGTTGAATTGTTGTTCAACCGTTCTGAACCATAACGACTGATCTGCCACTCTGTTGTTGCACTGGAAAGCTTTATGCATCTGAATCCTGCAATTTAACCGAGTTTAAGCCAATTGAATACTCTTCTTCTAAGAGACCACGAACCCATCGCATGCAAAAGAGTACAAGAAGTTTTGAAATCTTTAAAATTGCTTTCCGTTTCCTGTAGTCGTTTCTTTCCGTTTCCTGCAGTTCTTTCTTTTCGTCGAATAAGCTTTTGTACAAAGTAGCTCACTGTGTCAAAACTCTCTCAATGTTAACCTTGTATAATAAATTAAGTTGGTAATAATATGTTCAGTAATTTCAAACCCTCCTTGGAACATCTGGCTAGGCTGTTTACAATTAGCTCTCAATGATATTAATTGCAATGCTGCTCACCCCTCACGTCACCCCTCGACTTTCTGCTCTGTAAAGGAATTGAACGTAGAAAGTTCTCGGCTTTTGGTGTGCATCTGGATGCATTTGGAAGGGCATTCCTTAAAGCTTCTGCAAACTGAACGCCGTGCACTACTATTAAATATCTGTGCCTCTTCATTCATGAGGAGTATACTTCTCTAGCATAAAGCAAAGCTTAATATTTCTAATGAAAAAAAATCATTATTACTATTATTTCGTCGAGTGCACCCTAAAAGATACTTTGATACCTAAGAATAGTGGCTTTTCTTCCTGAGCACCCTGAGTAAGAACAAAAACTCTTGATTTAAACCCCTATGCGAGACTACGAACCTTCCCAACCTTTTCATATAGCAGTCTTCCCGGGCATTTTTCAGTCGAAATAGTACGGTGATCCATTAGATACGAAGTTATTGATCAAGTTGTTTAGATATTGGCCTTTTTACGTGTTTATGGACCAAGAAGCAGTGGAGTCCATAAATATCCATATTATTCACAATATTCAATAATCTTGAGCGAACAAGCTCGGTCAATATAAATAATTTTTGTTTTTTTTTTTATTTAGAACAGCATTTCCTTGCGGGAAACAGCCGGTAATCCAGCAGAAAGATCGCCCCATCTTGCCCGCCAACGATTTAGCGGCTGAGTGCGTAGTTTGTTTGTTTGTGTTGTTGTTTTTCTTTTAGTATTTTTAAGGTTCGTTGAATTTCGTCGTACTAATAAATGATGGAAGCAAAAGTCGCACTCATTAGTAAGGTTTTGAACTTTTGAATTCTCGTATTATTATTTGAGGCGTTGTCAAAAGGCATGCAAATGAGGAGAAGGGCTCATCTCTGCTTTGTATTTACCCAGTTTCGCCTTATTCTGCATATGTAACCGCTAATAACTGCAATAACAACTATCACTTGGATAAACCGCCTTCGTTCCGGATAATTGGGAAAATTGTTCACGGTTGGTCAGGCTGAAACGAATTGTTGAATTGTTGTTCAACCGCTCTAAGCCATAACGACTGATCTGCAACTCTGTTGCTGTACTGGGAAATTGTTGAACGTACCGAGTTTTCGACCGTTTGAGACGGCGGTTGAATTAAATACTCTTTCTTCTAATTAGAGACCACGAACAAACTTACTGACGGACGTACGGTTTATTGCAGTTGTGCACAGGAAGTTTTGAGAGCTTAATTGTTCTAATTTCCGTTTCCTGAAGTCGTTTCTTTCCATTCCCTGGAGTTCTTTCTTTTATATTAATAGCCTTTTGTACAAAGTAGCTCATTGTGCTAAAACTCTATTAATGCTAACCTTGTCAGATACTAATAAATCAAATCATAAGTAATAATAATTAAGTAATTTCAAACCCTCCAGTTCATCTCCAGCCTGCTCAAGTCTCTCGAGGGGTTACAGGGAGAGATGAACGATTTAACGCCAGGATTTGTGCGAGTCGTTATTGTCTTCTTAATTCTAAGCATTTGGCACATCATTTTCTGGTAGAATAAGCATTGTTGTAACAATAAAGTGGTCAAGAATACCGTTTGCTATAGAAAGAATCAAACTGTATGTCAACTAATTAACAATATCTTTTAACTAACATCAACATTTATTTTCATTGCTTAACCCATTTTAGCAACTATAAAATACAATAATTTTAAAACATGAATGGCGAATTATGCCAAATAAGCTCAGCATCGCTCTGTAGCGAAACTTCTCTCAGTTCGGTGTGCATCTGGATGCATTTGGAAGGGCATTCCCGCTAATCTTGATGCAAGATAACGTGATGGGGAGTATTCTTCTCTAGCTTGAAGCGAAGCTTCAATGTTGTTAATAAGAAAAATTAACAATAGCCCACTTAAGCTTCTTGTTGATAATTGTTTTCCTATTGTTTACTCTCCTTTCCCAACATCCGTTTCCTACATACATCCGTTTCCTTTTGGATCGAACAGAATCCTTTGTGCTCAAACGTGACATGAATAAATTTGCTACTTTGCTGGATGTTATTTAAACAGACCGCGGTTGACACATCAGCTAGTCCGCGAAGACAGAGGTCAGAAGACAGGATTTCAGAGAGTCCGAAAACTTTTACTGACGAGCAACTAGAGATTAACAAAAAGGTAAATTCTCTAAACGGTGTATCTTCAAACGACTTATTTTCAAATACATAGCTTGCATGCAGCAGCTATTTGCCTATGTTTTTTTGTTTTTTTTGCTTTACAACTTCTAATGCATATGTCTTTAAGTGATTTACGAGAGCATTTATTTGCACAAGCTGCAACTATCACAAACTAATTAATTATTATTAGTATCTGAGATCGTGAGAGGTTTCTTGAGGTGATGCGCGTTAAGGCAGATGACCGAATGATAATCTCTTGCTGTTTTATTCGCGCAACCACGCGCGCCAAACTGAATTTTTATTTGAAACATGCGGGTGTGTATATGGTACTGATATTCATCGCATAACGGTAAATTATTCTTCGGTTGTTAAATTTTTGAGAGTGCAATATTTCAGCCAATCCGCAGTTTCCAGCACTAACATTGGCATACTGGTAGAAGTCTACTAATTTATGATACGTACTTTTGAAGGAATATGAAGTGCCTTGTTTTGTTCTTCATCTCTTTGGGTCTGGCGATGTCATTTCCTTCACCTCCACAGCGTGATGCTGAGGATCTGGAGAACCACATGACCGGTATGTCCGTCAGTTTATCGGGTGTAGCTAAGAGTCGTTTTCATCGGAAAGTGACACTGTTTGCCGACTCTTTTGTTTCATGATACTGAACACTTGCTAACCAGATAAGATTTTTACTGTCTCGGGCTTATGAATGTGTCTTATCGTATTCATACTAGTCCTTTGTTTACTTTGTCTTCGTGATTCAATATCATTAGGAATTTTCTTTTCCAAACTCGATTCTTTTCTTTACCCCTTATAATTGTTCGAATCCCAGTGTATGTAGTGGATCTTTTATCTCTACTGATTTGTAGATACTTTTGCTTTGTCCTGTTCCAAGGAAACTTGATTCGATAGCCAAACGAAGTGGGCTTAATAGACTTCTTATACAAGTTCGAGCATAACCAATAACCCTTGTTGCCAAACTGTTCCGTTTCTTACAGCATAGTATAAAAAGCCCTTGATGTTCAAAGGAAATTTAATTCAATTGTAATATGCCCTTTTTTACTGAAAGAAAAGCCCCTGATGTTTAAGAAAAACTGTCGATATAATTCCGCTGTTATATGGCCCTTGCTTTTCAGAAAAAAAAATCAACGAACCCCGATATTATCATCATGATATTTCTTTTGTCTTAAAACAGGATAATATTTGTTACAATGATTTAAACAGGGGAAGGATAACTTAAAAAAAAAAAAAAAAAAAAA